TAATTTCTTTCTAAGATGTAGTGATTTAATAATTAAAACAATATCCATGAAATATAAATACAAGGTAATCATAAATAAATTAAATTAGATTGTGGCTGCTAAGAGCCAATTATCACACAAGGTATCTTTGATGGCTGAAATAATAAGAGGGCAGAATATTAATTCTGACACTCCATAGGCCGTGATTATAAATTGCTAAAATGTTTTAATAGGCTACGGAATTTTATTGAGATTTCAGATGGCCCTTAAAATATTCATTGTGTGTTAGAAATTAGTTGCCTTGATTGATTTTAGTTATAATTCCATTATATGTTTACAAGATGGGAACAGGAGGGTGGCTATAGAACTGAGAAAAAAAAAGTCTACTTATAAAATAACAATGTGACTAAGATAATAGCACCATGATTAAGAGGCTCAGACCTAGATCTGAATCCCAGTTTCACTACCTTCTGGCCGTGTGACCTTGAGCAATTTACTTCTCAAATGTCCTGCTTGTCAGGGAAGGACTGTGATGAGGAATGAATTAGATAGTACATAAAGCCTAGAGCACAGAGCCTGGCTTCTTCTGTCTTAGGATCTCTGCTGCCACAAAGGGGGAATTTGAAGGGTTTGGGAAGACAGCCTTTCCTACCTCAGTGATTATACCTTAACTTCTGTCTCAAGGGCTGTAACATTTCCTTTAGCACCAGCCTGAAAAATTATTGGGATATTCTCAGTGGTGTGTTGCTAAAGGTTTACCAGCCAGCTCTCAGTGGCAGTGTGAGCAGGGAAGCCTGGATTTGCTTGCTGATTTGCACAGTGTAACTGATCTCACCATGGCGGGAGTTGGGAAGGGAGGGAGGCAGACACTGGTCTCTGGAGAGCTGACATGACACAGTCCTCACACACCACTGGAAAACTGGGTTCTCCCTCATTCTTTATACACACACACACACATATATACATATACACACATACATATATATTTATATTTGTATATATTTTTATATTACTTGTATATTTAAATTAACATATAATTCATTATTTGTTTCAGGGGTATAGGTCTGTGATTCATCAGTCTTTTTTTTTTTTTTTAAGATTTTGTTTATTTATTTGATGGAGAGACATCCCAAGTTGGCAGAGAGGCAGGCAGAGAGAGAGGGGGAAACAGGCTCCCCGCTGAGCAGGGAACTTGATGTGGGGCTCCATCCCAGGACCCGGGATCATGGCCTGAGCTGAAGGCAGAGGCTTTAACCCACTGAGCCACCCAGGCGCCCCTCATCCATCTTATATAATACCAGTACTCATTACAACACATACCCTCCCCAATGTCCATCACCCAGTTACCCCATCCTCCTTCCCCTCTCCCCTCCAGCAGCCCTGTTTGTTTCCTATGATAAAGAGTCTCTTACAGTTTGTCTCCCTCTCTGGTTTTGTCTTCTTTCATTTTTTCCTCTCTTCCCCTATGATTCTCTTTGTTTCTTAAACTCCATGTATTAGTGAGATTATATATTGTCTTTCTTTGATTGACTTATTATATTTGATATATTTTGATTGACTTGTTATATTTGATTGACGCTTAGCATAATACCCTCTAGTTCCATCCACATTGTTGCAAATGGCAAGATATCCTTTTTTGATGGCTGCATAATATTCCATTGCCTAACTATCCACATCTTTATCCATTTATCTCTCAATGGACATCTGGGGTCTTTCCATAGTTTGGCTATTGTGGACATCACTGCTATAAACATTGAGGTGCAAGTGCCCCTTTGGATCAATACATTTGTATCTTTGGGGTACAATACTGAGGAGTACAATTACTGGGTTGTAAGATAGCTCTATTTTCAACTTTTTGAGGAACCTCCATACTGTTTTCCAGAGTGGCTGCACCAGATTGCATTCCCACCAACAGTGTAGGAGGATTCCCCTTTCTCTATATCCTCGCCAGCATCTGTCATTTCCTGACTTGTTAATTTTAGCCATTCTGATGGTATGAGGTGGTATCTCATTGTAGTTTTGATTTGTAGTTCCCTGAGGCCGAGTGATGTTGAGCATTTTTTCATGTTTCTGTTGGCCATTCGGATGTCTTCTTTGCAGAAATGTCTGTTCATGTCTTCTGCCCATTTCTTGATTGGATTCTTTGTTCTTTGGGTGTTGAGTTTGGTAAGTTCTTTTTTTTTGTTTGTTTGTTTTTTTGACAGACAGAGATCACAAGTAGGTAGAGAGGCAGGCAGAGAGAGAGAGGAAGGGAAGCAGGCTCTCTGCTGAGCAGAGAGCCCGATGTGGGGCTCCATCCCAGGACCCTGGGATCATGACCTGAGCCAAAGGCAGAGGCTTTAACCCACTGAGCCACCCAGGCACCCCAAGTTTGGTAAGTTCTTTATAGATTTTAGATACTAGCCCTTTATCTGCTATGTCATTTGCAAATTTCTTCTCCCATTCTGTCAGTTGTCTTTTGGTTTTGTTGACTGTTTCCTTTGCTGTGCAAAAAGCTTTTGATCTTGATGAAGTCCCAATAGTTCATTTTTGCCCTTGTTTCCCTTGCCTTTGGAGACGTGTCTAACAAAAAGTTGTGTGGTCAAGGTTGAAGAGGTTGCTGCCTGTGTTCCCCTCAAGGATTTTGATGGATTCTTATCTCACAGTTAGGTCTTTCTCCATTTTGAGTATTTTTGTGTGTGGTGTAAGAAAAGGGTCCAGTTTCCTTCTTCTGCGTATGGCTGTCCAATTTTCCCAACATCATCGGTTGAAGAGACTGTCTTTTTTTCCATTGGACATTCTTTCCTGCTTTGTTGAAGATTAGTTGACCATAGAGTTGAGAGTCCATTTCTGGGTTCTCTCTTCTGTTCCATTGATCTATGTGTCTGTGTTTGTGCCAGTACCATACTGTCTTGATGATGACAGCTTTGTAATAGTGCTTGAAGTCTGGAATTGTGATGCCACCAGCTTTAGTTTTCTTTTTCAACATTCTTTTGGCTATTGGTTTTTTTTTTTTCTGGCTCCATACAAGGAAGGATTTAGGATTATTTGTTCCAGGTCTGTGAAAAGAGTTGATGGTATTTTGAGAAGGACTGCATTGAATGTGTAGATTGATCTGGGTAGCATAGACATTTTAACAGTATTTGCTCTTCCAATCCATGAACATGGAACGCTTTTCCATTTCTTCATGTCTTCCTTGATTTCTTTCATGAATGTTCTATAGTTTTCTAAGTACAGATCCTTTGCCTCTTTGGTGAGGTTTATTTCCAGGTATCTTATGGTTTGGGGTCCAATTGTAAATGGGATCGACTCCTTAATTTCTCTTTCTTCTGTCTCGTTGTTGGTATATAGAAATGCAACTGATTTCTGTGCACTGATTTTATATTCTGCCACTTTACTGAATTCCTATATGAGTTCTAGCAGTTTTGGGGTTTCTGCATAGAGTGTCATGTTATCTGTCAAGCCTTTTATTTCTTTTCATTGTCTGACTGCTGAGGCTGGGGCTTCTGGTACTATGTTGAAAAACAGTGGTGAGAGTGATTTTCCCTCATTCTGACAAAGGCAGTTGGAAGAAAGGCAGGCACTGGCAAAGGCCTCCTAGCCTAAGAAGAAACCACCCTTAAAAGGATTTTACACCATCCTGGAAGGAGCCCTCCACCCTTTCCCACCTGATAGGTGGATGACAAAAACCTGATGGAGTGACAGGCACAGTGAAGGTTAATCAGATTATAACAGCCAGCCAATAAACTCATAAAAACCCCTAGATCTAAACAATAGCTAAATTAGCAAACCTCTCAGATCCCCTCCTTCTTTGGGAGCTTTGTACTATTGCTCCTAAAAGTTTGCTTGGCCGCTGCCACTCCTCCTCTGGTCTACCTCTTCCTTCATTGAAGCGGTGCCACCGAGAGCCATGGGCACTGAAGGAAGAAGGAAATCCTGTAACAGTTTTGGCCCAGCTGCCCTCCAGCTGCCCGACCCCAGGCAAACCCTACCCCCCTCCCCAACTCCCCGCTCCGGCCTCAGCTTCTTCCTCTGAAATGATGCAGATAGTAATACTTACCTGGCAGGCCTCATAGGGTTGATGTGACAAATAAATAGAGGACATGAAAAACTACTGAAACGGAAACAGTGGAAATTCAGTCGGCAGTAGTGTGGAGGCCCCGGGCGGTTACAGAGGTGGCTTTGTCTGATTTAAAGGTCCCAAGGCTGCTGGCCATTCCTCTGTCTTCGATCTGCTCTTCAGTTGGGCCCTGGAGCTCTGCGTTTATTTACCCTAATCTTTTTTCTTCTCTCTGACCATTTAGCTCACAATGATTATCTGCACAATTAACATAATAAAGCAAGTCAGCAAGGCTCTTTCAGGGTCCCGGGGAAACAAAGACTGGGGGTTATTACTTGAGGCCCAGTACTGCAAGCAGGACTGAGCTCCGAAAACCATCAATGTTATGCCCCACCCACCCCTGGAGCAGGGAACAAGGGCTCCTTGTACTTCGGGGACCAATGCTATCCTGGTGACCTGGGCTTCTTATCCACACCCCCGCAAGTGCGTGCCCCTAGAGTGCCCCCATGATAGCCTTGCGTAAGGGACAGGCGGGGCTTGGTAAGGAGAGACAGGGGGCCACGGGATCAGGCTCACAAAATTCCAAAAATGCAGAGGTGGAAGGAAGCCAGAGATAAGGAAACACATAAGACCATCCTGTCTCAGGTGTCCGAGGTGGGGTCTTGCTGTGACAGCTACTTGAGACCAACAAAAAATTACCTGACCCTTGGCTATTGTGGACAGGCTGTCTTCACACTCACAGAGAGTCCCACCGAAATGCCAATGGCAATCACCCTCTTCTTCCCAGCGGCCACCTAGGAGAGGAGGGTGGGTGAGACGGTGCCACCAGGAGGATTCTAGGATATAAACCTATTGCATGGAGATGTCAGGGTCAGGACTGGGAAAGAGAACAGGCTTTGGCTGGATGGGGACTTTTGTGTCCTCGTGAGAAGGAACAGACAGAGATGTCTGGTTGACTATCAGGGGAAAACACAGACCTTCTTCAGTTCTTCAATCCTGTGCAGGGCACTGTCTTCTGTCCCCTCCCTAGATGCCACCACAGACTAAGAGGACAGACTCAAAGTCAGTGGCACTGGTTTGAAAGCAGAAGATTATGGTATACTAGGGAAGAAAAGGGAATGCTTTAAGAAAAGGGAATGATGGGAAAGATATCATTGACTGAACACCTACTATTTGCTTAAACACCACGATAGACGCTTTCTAGGGCTAAAAAACTCCAATTCCTACAAGTGCCAGTCACGTGACATGAGTATGTGAAGTGGGCCAAGGATAAGGCAATGAGAAATGATGGGGACCAAAGCAAACTGGGCACAATCTCCACCTGAAAGCCTTAAAATTCTATTTCTAGAAAACATTATCCAGGCCAAAGAAAATATTCACGGGCCAACTTGGCTTACCTATCACCGCCTGCAATGAGGTAGGTGTAAAGAGGTTTCTGTCCTAGACCTTTCATCAGCTGGTTGAAGGAGACCTGTCAGGGGGGGAAGGACATGAGGTAGTGATGAAAGTGAAGGGAGCGGTTACCTTAGATTTTGACAAGTAGTATGAGGATTCCCTCAGGCCAGTGCTTAAGCCAGTCCTGCTTGGAATTTGGCACTTCGAATGCTATTTGCAGATGACAGCTTGGGGTGCGTGGGATGTAGAGACATGTGCAATAGACTGAATGGGGCCCAGGTGGGTTCCGAAGATACCGGGGTTCCATGGTGAGATCTGTCTTTGAGAAGAGTGGGAGCCAGGCCTCAAGAGGGCCACCTAGGAGCTTAGCTATGATGAGCTTTATGGTCCTGAGGGTTACCCCGAGAAGGCAGAGAAAGGAAAATCGGGGATCAGGGTACTCACCGACATGAGAAACGCCATCCTGCCAGAGTTGCCCCCTCCACTCAGCACCACCAGCCCCCGCTCAGGTTCCTGAGAAAGAAAAAATTTCCTGTGTCGCCAGGGCCTAGCTCCTAGCTCAGGTTGGGGGAAGCACATTCCTTCTTTGTCAGCAGCAGAAGAATTCCTGGGGAGACTCCTTAACCCTCCTTTTACCACAAAAGGGAACAGAAAGATGCCTGGATTAGAGAAGGAAACTTCAGTCTGACTCCCAACTCTGGCTTAGCTACTTACTCAATCCCTTACTCATTCCAGAAAGGACTGAGAGCAGCTTTGTCATCCACCAATCACTCAATAAAAAACAGTGCTACCCAGCAATTATTAGCTGGATATATTTGGGCAAGCTACTGTGATTATCCTTTGTTTTCCTATCTGGAAAAAAAAAAAAAAAGGAGACAATCACACTAATTTCACAGGTTTTTGCAAAGGTAATGAGTGTGAAAGCACAATGTCAATTACAGAGTGTGATGTAGATAATAGTTATTATAATTACTGTTGATTAATAAGATGACAATAAAGAGACCAGAGGGAGGACTGGGAGAAAGGAGAATGGAGATAGAGTAAAATGAGAAGTGGAAGCCAAGAAAAGAGAAAGCGGGGAGGGAGAGAAGTTAGGAGGGGAGAAGACAGAGAGACTGTACCTTCAGCACTTCCTGAACTTTGCCAGCCACTTGGATCATGGTGGTCAGAATTGATTCACTATATGGTCTCTGTGGGGAACAGGTGGGAATCAGAAGCCAAGAAAAGGACGGTGGATGTGGGGGAGGGGGACGAATGGATGGTGTGGTGGTGGGGCTCTCAGGTCTCAAACACTAAGGACCATTGGCATGGAGTTGGCATCTTTATTTTCAGTGTCCAGGGGATGGGTCTGGGTTACCTGGTCTGTGGGCATGACTCGCCCCTCCTCCTGGAAGATCTCAGCATCACATTGTCCCAGCAATCGAACAATTTGCTCGGCATCTGCTTTATCGAGGTCCTGGGACAGTGGGTTTGACTTCTCTGTGATTGGCAGGGCTGCCTCATACCCAGACAACTAGAGGGAAGGGGGCACAAGGATACAGACAGGGTGCCCAGGCCTCACTCATGCCTCTTGATCTGGAGGTGGGAGTAGCAGCAGGCACAAAGTTTGGGGACACACACACACACACACACACACACACACACACCATCAAGGATTTAGCCTGAACTTGGTACTCTGGGCCTAATAGGGGAAGGTCAGGAAGGAAGATGGGAAGGAGGAGTGGGAAAACAGAAACCCAGGGTGGAGGGAAGTCCAGATGAGAAATGATTCTAGGAATCAGTGCAGAAGACCAACATGGAGAAGTGGGGGGGGTCTCACCTCCCACTTGCCAGGCTCTGGGGTCTCAATCACATGTTGAAACCGTTTTGTGCCTGGCATGGTCGCACACTGTGGACCCTTGTCGTGCCTGCGTTTTCAGCCACACAAACCCTTCTATCACGCTAACTCTGCTTCCAGCGGGTGGGGCCTTATCTGAGCCACAGTGATGATTAACCCAGGTACCCTGGCCTCTCTGAGCACCGCCCCCTCTGAGTATCTCTCCCCACACCCTTTCCTGATCAGTTGGCCCCCAGCCCTCTGGGCACCCCAGGGAAGCTCCAGGGGTCCCTCTTTGCATGCATGCAGACTGCCCAGCCTCTGCTTTGCCCCATGAAGGGTGAAACCTGAGGTTCATTACTCTTAACCTTTGGACACAATGACCTCTTCTCTGGAGGGCCTGGAGCTCAGAAGTGCAGGGTAATACCCAGTCCCAGGACAATGAGAATCCCTGAGCAGAGTGCTCTGGGACCAGGATGCAACAGGAGGCCAGAGATCAGGGTCCTCAGGGACAGCAGAGGTCAGAGGACCTGAGCCATGGCTTGATCACATGTACAGAACACACAGTCCTCCGGGACCCTCTTGCTCCATTTCACTCTTTAATCTCAGAAGGAAGGTAACAGAAGCTTTGGAGCCCCAGGGAGACACACGCTGAACTGAATATTACAGGGAAAAAGTGCCACGGAAATAGAAATGCTGCAATGAGAATTAGAAACCAAAGTATCTGCCCTAAATACAACATGAGCCAACATTTATTTACACTGAACAATGCACTTTTCACATGCAGTATCTCACTGGGTACATTCACACTAAGGAGACCATACTGACACCCTCGTTTTGCAGATGGTAAAGCAGAGGCTCAAAGAATTTAGGTCATTGCTGAAGATCACACAGTGGACAGAAAGGGGACTCACACCCAGGTTGTTACTCCAGATCTCATGAAATTAAGGATTTATGTTTGTTAAACGAATGAAGTAACTAACAGACTGGTGCAAATTAATGATAATCCCTCGCTCACACAATGTCATAAGATTTATAAAGACATTCCCCAACATTATCTCACTGGATCCTGCCAACAGCCCTATGAGGTTCTGGACGCTCTGATTTTAGGAAACCTGACACTTAGACGACCAATTTCTCCACGCCAGGCAGGAAGAAGAGCTAAAAACCATAGGTTGCTACTCTTTAGACTTCCGCTGCTATAAACCCAGCCTGCTGTCTTAACTGCTGGACTCCAGCTCTTCCCACGCCCAGACACCTAGGTGACGCTCGATAAATATTTGTTTAATAAATTAAAGAATGAATGAGAGCGAAGAGAATCAGTATCAGATTATGAATGGGGAAGAGATTTAAAAGCTGACGCAGTCTACAAGTGGAGATTTTAGAACAATTATCTCGCCACTCTGTCCCCTCCCGCAGGGGAAGTGGGATTCCTCCTCCCAACTTGGCTAATTCCACCCGGGGAGGGAGGGGCCCTCCCGGGCTCCCGAGACCCTCGCACCTGCGCCTCTCCCTACGCCCCCGCGCCTCTCCCTACGCCCCCTCATGCTCCTCGGACTGAGCCGGGATCAGAGGCAAGGGGACCCGGAGGCAGCCAATGGGAGGGCCGTGGGAGGAGCCCCGGGAGAACGAGGTCGGAGGAGGGGGTGGTGAGGGGGATGACGGCGGCGAGAACCCTGGCGGGGCTGGGCGGGCCGGCACGTCCCGGTCGGGCTGCGGCGGAGCTAGCGGAGCCAGCTCTGCAGAAGGCGGCGGCTAGCTAGCCGGGACCGTCACATCCCGCTGCAGGCGCCGGCGGAGCAGCCGCACTGCCTCGCGCACCGGGACTCCGGCCAGTGGCCAGGCCGCGCCGGCACCGCCCCCCGCTCAGGGACAGACTCCGCGGCCCGTCCGAGCTCTGGGGGCCCCCCGCAGCCCCGCGGCCGGCTCCAGCTACGCCTCCACCTGCCCTCTGCCCGCAGCTGGTCCCGCGCTGCCCGCCGCGGCGGGCCCGCGCCGGGATGGGGTAGGGGCAGCGCCGCGGAGCAGGGCGATGGGCCGCCCTCTGGGCACCGAGCAGCCCCCGAGGTCTGACCGACCGCGAGGACCGGCGGAGGTGGGTGTGGGCCGGGCAAAGCGGCGCACTGGGGACGCCCGAGTGATGCGGGGGCGGGGAGGGAGTGGGGAGAACGGGGGGGATCCGGGGCTGCTGTGGGCGGTGGGGAGCCAGGGAGAGCTGCTGCCACCCGTGCGTTCTGGGCAGTCCTGGACACCCGCCCCCAAGAGCTCCTGCCACCTCCAGGAGCCCCGCCTGGATGTCAAGCGGATGCCCCAGTGCCTGCCTCTCAGCGGACTCGGTGGGGACCATGGCTTCGCTGATGCCCCTCTCCCCATATTTAAGCCCTACGGTCCTCCTGCCGGTCAGTTGTGACCTGGGCTTTGTGCGAGCAGCTGAGTAAAGGGGTAGTGGGGTGGAGCAGAGCTAGTCCGTACATGGGACCTGTTAACCTATTCACTCTGGCACCCAAGAGACCGGCCTCCCTCCCTGTGAATGTGACAGTCACTCACCTCAGATCCAACTCGGCCACTGTGTCCTGGGACGTCCCAGAAGGCAACATCGTCATTGGATACTCCATTTCCCAGCAAGTACGAATCACCCTTCTGCTCCCTCAGCCTGTGTCCTTGGAACTCTGAGCCTTCCTTCTGTTACCCCCACCGGGGACCAAAGCTCCCCTCCCCGTGGTGGGGGAATCTGGGAGCTGGTGTCCCCTGACTCAAGCTGCCCTTGTCATCCTACTCCGTGGAGTGCTTGGATGTTTGAGTCCTGGGACTGGTATGACCGCCCCCCTGTCCCATCATCTCCCCGCAGCGACAGAATGGCCTGGGCAGCATGTGATCCCGGAGGTGAACAACACAATGCGGGCCTGTGCCCTATGGGGACTGGCTGAAGACAGCGACTGTAAGATGCAGGTCTGGAGCATCGGCCTTCGGGGAGAGAGCCCCCCCACCCAGGGCCTCGGGTGCACTTCCGAATTCTCAAGGGTTCTGACCCGTTACCCTCCAACAGCTCAAGCCCAGGTGAGAGGCTCAGCTATCCTCTACTCCCGAAAGCTTTGGATTCTCTGGCTTTTTACCTGCCCTTAAGCCTCTTGTTTACTTCCCCCCAAACAAGCCACAGTCTAGCTTAGATGAATAAAAGGATGACTTAATTCATCATACTGCCAAGAAACGAAGGAAAAAGGTTGGCAGGGGACTGGGTATAAACAGGCTGATAATGAATCATTTGGGAGAAGGGCTTTTTTTTTTTAAACACAGTGCTTTAGACAATGTTTATTTTTTCCATGAAACAATTTTGAATTCTCTCAACTGTGTGTAAACTCCTAAATAAATATGTAACTGCTACCACCTTTGGCTTGAATGAGTGAAATATACATAGGCAAGTTGATATTTGAGCCCTACTTCAGAAAACATTCACCCAGATACTCTTGGAAGCAAGGAATGTTGCTGTAATTTCTAATTTTCTAATAATTTCTGTAATTATTCCAGTCAACATTGTACAATTCTTATCTTGGGGCTTGGTTTTTATGGGTGTAAAGTAGCTGTAGGTAATAACTTACATATGGGCATAGCCAGGCCCCATTAGAATTTAGGTCTTTTTTTTTAATTTTTTATAAACATATAATATATTTTTATCCCCAGGGGTACAGGTCTGTGAATCTCCAGGTTTACACACTTCACAGCACTCACCTTAGCACATACCCTCCGCAATGTCCATAACCCCACCCCCCTCTCCTAAACCCCCTCCCCCCAGCAACCCTCAGTTTGTTTTGTGAGATTACGAGTCAGTTATGGTTTGTCTCCCTCCCAATCCCATCTTGTTTCATTTATTCTTCTCCTACCCACTTAACCCCCCATGTTGCATCTCCACTTCCTCATATCAGGGAGATCATATGATAGTTGTCTTTCTCTGATTGACTTATTTCGCTAAGCATGATACCCTCTAGTTCCTTCCACGTCGTCGCAAATGGCAAGATTTCATTTCTTTTGATGGCTGCATAGTATTCCATTGTGTATATATACCACATCTTCTTTATCCATTCGTCTGTTGATGGACATCTAGGTTCTTTCCATAGTTTGGCTATTGTAGACATTGCTGCTATAAACATTCGGGTGCACGTGCCCCTTCGGATCACTACGTTTGTATCTTTAGGGTAAATACCCAGTAGTGCAATTGCTGGGTCATAGGGTAGCTCTATTTTCAACATTTTGAGGAACCTCCATGCTCTTTTCCAGAGTGGTTGCACCAGCTTGCATTCCCACCAACAGTGTAGGAGGGTTCCCCTTTCTCCACATCCTCGCCACCATCTGTCATTTCCTGACTTGTTAATTTTAGCCATTCTGACTGGTGTGAGGTGATAGCTCATTGTAGTTTTGATTTGTATTTCCCTGATGCCGAGTGATATGGAGCACTTTTTCATGTGTCTGTTGGCCATCTGGATGTCTTCTTTGCAGAAATGTCTGCTCATGTCTTCTGCCCATTTCTTGATTGGATTATTTGTTCTTTGGGTGTTGAGTTTGCTAAGTTCTTTATAGATTTTGGACACTAGCCCTTTATCTGATATGTCGTTTGCAAATATCTTCTCCCATTCTGTCAGTTGTCTTTTGGTTTTGTTAACTGTTTCCTTTGCTGTGCAAAAGCTTTTGATCTTGATGAAATCCCAATAGTTCATTTTTGCCCTTGCTTCTGTTGCCTTTGGCGATGTTCCTAGGTAGATGTTGCTGCGGCTGAGGTCGAAGAGGTTGCTGCCTTTGTTCTCCTCAAGGATTTTGATGGATTCCTTTCTCACATTGAGGTCCTTCATCCATTTGGAGTCTATTTTTGTGTGTGGTATAAGGAAATGGTCCAATTTCATTTTTCTGCATGTGGCTGTCCAATTTTCCCAACACCATTTGTTGAAGAGGCTGTCTTTTTTCCATTGGACATTCTTTCCTGCTTTGTCGAAGATTAGTTGACCATAGAGTTGAGGGTCTATTTCTGGGCTCTCTATTCTGTTCCATTGATCTATGTGTCTGTTTTTGTGCCAGTACCATGCTGTCTTGATGATGACAGCTTTGTAATAGAGCTTGAAGTCCGGAATT